TTTATAACTTTTAATTATGTATTTATGGTTTTAATTTGATGTAAACCGCCCAGAGTCCCCCCATTGTGGGGAGATGGACGGGGACAAGTCTACTAAATAAATAAATAAAATAAATAAAACCAGCACCTGAATTGCACCCGAAAGCAAACTAGTAGCCAATGCTGCTTGCGGAGCAGAGGCATAAGGTGTGTCATCCTAGGGGCACGCCTAATCACCTGCACAGCTGCACTCTGCACCAGTTGAAGCTTCTGGATGCTCTTCAAGGGCATCCCCATGTACTGTACATTACAGTAATCCGCTCTGAAGGTGACCAGGGCGTGAATAACTGTTAGCACTGCTAACCTCTGGTCTAAATCTTTGATGTGCTTTTCCCACCATTAGTAAAATAAACCCTGAAAATTCTGGAAGAAGTAAAAAAAAAAAAAAGTGAGGGGAGGGAAAGCACCCACTCTCAAAACACCAGGGCTACAAAATTATCTGCACAAATATTTAGTGAGCTGTCTAATTTGAGAGCAAAACCCTGTCTTTTTCCATCCAAGACCAGAAGTAAATATTATGACAAGTAATATTTAACAACCGCTATAAGCTATAGCTGTCTGTTCTTACGTTGCATGAGTTGACAATTCTTGTTTCATCAAAAACAAAACATGGCGCTTACGAAAGTTACCTTCTCCAACTTCCCGCACTTTCGTTTTCCAGCCGAGCCCTCTTTATTTTCTGCATCAACTGCTAAGCGAGCCTTAGACAGGATAAGAAACTAGATCAGGGAAAAGAAAAACAGAGCATAAGAGAGATGACTGCTTAAATGGTTCGGCTAAAAGGCGTTTTACTTCACCCACAAAACCTAAGCCAAAATAACTTCTTGGCACAGTAGAAGGCCTTAGTCAGGGAACGCTGGGAACTTTCATTCTGCTGGAAACTTCCATACATAACTTACATCAGGAGAGCCCAACTCATACCCCCCGCAAGCCTTAAGTAATATCCACCCCCCCCATTATAATTTCAATGCAATACTAAAGGGAAAATGGCAAGTAATCCCATAAAGTGCATGCGATTAATTTAAAACGATTTTAGGTTTGGGTCCTGTCCCACCCTAGCATACCCTGAAAGACAGCCCTTGGCCCATAAAGGCTTCTGTATCCCAGATTTCCAAAATTTCAGCAAGCATTTTCCCCCCAGCATTACAGGGCAGCACCAAGGACTGAACTGGAGAGTTTCTGTGTGTAACTGTGGACTCTGCTAGCAATCATAAGAATGAAACTGAACAGTCTGTAGATGCTTCTTCAGGAGGGAAACCCCCATTCTGAAATGCCTATTAGAAGATCTAACATTTTCTAATTTTCTTGGGATAAAGCAAAAGTGCTCTCCCATAATTATCCAGCTCCTAAATCAAAAAAGAGGCAAGAGGATCTCATCCCAAATTGCACGTCGAGGCTGCAGCATTGTAGGTAGGGCCAAAGCTTATAACTTTTATAACTGACATGAATCAGGAATCCCAGGCCTGTTACATCAACATACATCTACCAAAGCAAAACTTGGCCTGATGTTTTCCATTCCTGCTTAATACACGTTTAATACAAATTTAGCCATACAAGGCCTACTGTAATCAAGGGGCTCTTCCAACACTGCAGAAACAACTCCCACCCTAATTCGCCAAACTCACCCTGTGGCCTGGATTCACACGCCACGTCAAGCCCAGGTTAATACAATATAATTGCTGTGTTCACATCACAAGCTACGATCCTAAAAATAAACGACTATACCGTTGCTTCATGTGACGGCAGCCTGACACATGCAACTGTGAAGTTCTTGGTGCTTGGTGAAGGTATTACTGTACCTGGTTGGGTAACTAAACGAGCACCAAGAACTCCACACTTTGACCCTGAGCTACAGATCTCCTCTTCTATGGATTCCTACAACACACTGAGATCACAGCCAGGTTTCTACCGCACGCTGAGCCACAACCCTCCCGGATTTATGTGCATCTTGTGGAAATCCAGCCAGTAAAGTGGGGGGCAAGCAAAGTTTCAGGACGCCAAAGAGCTTCGGGTTCTGATGGTAGCGAGCGAGCACCCAGAGCCAGCCTGCACGGAAAAACGCATGTTTTCATTCCAGGGCGCCTTGCCTTTTCTCCCCCTTCCCTTCAGAGCACCTCCCTG